GGTATAATTGCCCGAAGCTCCGGAATCGATGAGGATCTTTCATGGCTTCTCGTAGCCCTTTACGGTCGCCTCCACGACCAGCAAGCCTGGCTTGCACACGCGTTCCGTGTTCAAGAGCACGGAGCTCTTCGGGGCTGGGCCCTGTTGACGTATACCTCTCTGAGGCTCAACAGAACTCAGTTCTTCCCCAGTAGGTTGCCCCGCGCCTTCTGAGTGGCGTCGTTTCCCGTAACGAACCAGACTGGTAGGCGTCGGGGCGATGGTTCGAAGAACCTTGACGCGCTTTGCGCAGGGGGGCATACGTTCCACAAGTGACGGGTGTTTCCGCAGACAAAGCACCGTCGAATGTGTGTACGCTGCCCGGCAGCTCGGAGCTCTGCTCCCTCGTCCTTAGGATAGCTGAGATCCATGGGCATAGGTCCGCTTGAAGAGCTGTTGGAGTGTGCATTCCAACCAAGTTGTGCCGACTTGAAATTGAATTCGGCATTCAATGTCACACTCACCGCCTCTTCAAATGAAGACGAATGCACACGGGAGACTTCCATTCTGGCCGCGCCAGTGCGGAAGCCTTTCATAAAGACGGTCACTGTGACCGCCTCCGGGAGGGGATCTGCTGCCACCCCGGCAATGAGAGTTCGCATCTCTTGTACAAAGTCCAACAGTTCCTTTTTGCCCTGTCGGGCGGCAAGGGTACGCTATCGCACGCGATATGCCTGATTAGGCGGCAAGAACACTGGTGAGAGCTGCGATTTCAGTTCCGCCCAGGAGGTAAACACAGCTCCGACCGGAGTGCCGCACGTCAGTGCCCATTCTTGCGCTCGACCACCAGCCTTTGAGATGGCTAGCGCCACGCGCTGTTGCTCCATTTGGAGCATGGCGGATGCGATGGCCGTCCCGACCTCTCTCAACCAGAGCAGGAGATTCTCTCCATCCTTCTTTTCAAAGACCTTAACGCTAACCATGAGCGGCTTAGGGCGAAGAAAATCATCCGTCACTGACGGTGGCGTCATGGACGCAAACGATGCAGGCATCTTCTGCTTCAGGTGCTCTAGCAGCGCTTTTAGTAACTTGAAAACGCCTCTAGACGCGTACCGATTGCCTCGGGACCTTGTGCTACAAGGTGTTGCACGCCCTCAGGGTCAAGCAAGGACATTAGCTTATTAAGCCCGTCCTGCATGCCCAGGGGCAAAAAGGAAAATTTCTCCATCCTCACAGAAGATCAGTCTCAAGGACTCAGGTGCAGATTGACTACAAGCGCTACCAAGTGCAGCGGTGCTGCCGTAGCTTAGCGCTTGAGGAAGCGTACTTTAGGTCACCAACCCTCTTTACAAGAACCAAGTGTGAGTTAGCGGATCGCAATCCGCTTACTCCAAGAGTAATTATTGCCTTCCCAAGGCTAATTGACTCTTCGGTTAAAAATCCAAAACCTGAGTTTTATTTATTTTTTATCTTAATTTTAAAAGTTTAGATTTTTCTAAATATATTAATACATACATATAATAAAATCTAATTACATGCATAACTACCGGCTACCTAGCCTCGTACCGTATTCTTGTTTGGGTGTAGTCACACCATGCACAATTCGTGTAGCACACACCCCTGTTATCAGGGTTCGTGTAACCCCATTCCACAGATCGCGCAATTTGTGATTTTGTATGCCAGCCAGGTATTCAGTGGAGCCACCAGTGAAGTATCCAGTGCAGTCAATCCACGGGAGTATGAAATGTACATAAATCCAGTATGGAATCTAGTTGAAGGTTTGGTAGAATTTTCTTAACAGGATTAGAGGAAGCTCAGCGATCTATGGACAGTTGATATCGTTTTGCCAACAAACAAGTACTAGTGTAACGGGGGTACACGTACCCATGTATGAAAGGGCGGATAGTGTGACCGTACATAGGTGTAGATTACACAAGTTGGTGTGATCACCCAGTGGTAATGCATATTACTATATTAATCAATTTTTGCTATATAAAGTAGGTATCACTATATTAAATATGAAAAACCAAGGGTTTAGATATTGACGGCTCTGCCGCCACCAAAACAAATACTTTTAATTTTGAAAGGAGGAGTACACTTGCCGTGAATCAAGGAATCACACTCGTACAGGTCGATGACCTTAGCTTAGATTCTTTTAAGCAAAGAGCTACGGCAGCCCGGCTGCACTTAGTAACACTCGTAGTCAAACGACGCCTGGATCGTTACGACTAATGCTCTGTGAGGGTGGAGATACTCCTATTTGCTCCAGGACAGCTTGCAGCTGAGGGCGTGAAGCACCTTGCTGCGCAAGGGCCTGAGGCCATTAGCGCGCGCCTAGAGGCGTTTTCAAATTGTGAAAATGCTCTGTTAGAGTTCTTACAGCAGAAGCTGTTAACGCCGCTGCGTCTATGACTCCACCGTCGACGGCGGATGATTCCTCCCGACCCAGGCCGCTCATGGTGGCGTTAGGACCTTTGAGGGTAAAGATGTAGAGACTCTCCTGCTCTCGATGAGAGAGGTCGAGATGGCTATGGCATCTGCCATGCTTCAGAACGAGCAACAGCTCGTGGCGCCAGCTATCTCCAAGCTCGAGGACCGAGCGTACTAGCTTGCAGTGCTTCTTGGAAAGAGCTGAAGCGTCAGCTTTTGCGAGTGTTCTCGCCGCCTAATCAGGCATATCGCGTGTGATTGCGTTTGCTTGCTGCCCGACAGGGCAATAAGGCGTTGGTGAACTTTGTCCTAGAGTATAGAACTCTCACTGCCCGGGTGGCAGCCGATCCTTTACCCGTGGCGGTCACAGTCTTTCTGGAGGAGGGACTTCGAACTGAGGTGGCAAGAATTGAAGTCTTCCATGTGCATCCATCTTCTTTCAAAGAAGCGGAGAACGTGGCATTGAATGCCGAAGTTAACTTTAAGTCGCAAGACCCAGCTGGAGCGCATACCCTCAGAGCTCCTCGAGCGGGCCTAAGCCGATGGATCTCAGTTTTGCTGAGAAAGAGGAGGGAGTGCTCCGAGCTACCGAGCTGCCGAGCAGCGTTTGAACACCCGATGGTGTTTTGTTTGTGGAGACACTCGTCACCATCGAACTGATTGTCCCATGCGCAAGGCGCGCTAAGGTTCGTCGAGCCGACATTTCGCTTCTAACCTGCTTGGTTTGTCGTGGGTAAACGCGAAAATATAATAGGCGCGAAGCGCCCTACTGGGGATAAACTGAGCTCTGCTTTTGCCTAAAAAAGGTAGAGGGCAGCAGGGCCCAGCCCCAAAGAGCTCCGTGAGCTTGAACACGGAACGCGTGCGCAAACCGGGCTTGCTGGTCGTAAAAGTGACTGTGAAGGGTTTGAGAAGCCATAGAAAATCCGTATCGATTCTGGTGCGTCGGGCAATTATACTCGACGCTCCACGATTGCAGGAAGTCAGCTGGATTCTGAGGCGCTGAAAGCGTGGCTGAGTGACACCGTTAATGTTCGCTTAGCGATGGGGATATTGTGCCAGTGTGCCGAAGGTCTTTGTGGACCTCGGTGTCAAGTTTCTTGATTTCGATAGCGTGAAACACTGCCTAGTCTAAGACTTGGATGCAAGGTATGACCTTATCCTTGGTATGGCATGGTAGGAACACCGTGAGCCATGGATCGATTGGAGATCGATGACCATGGGCGTTACGCGCATATCTTCTGGTGGAGCTTTGGTGAGTCATATACCCACCTCTTCTAGAAAGTAGAAGCGCTATTGGCGTGGGCACTGGACCGAACTGGTAATGTACTGGATATCGGAGTATCCGAGTTGTCAAACACCGAAGGTACGTTTGACAAGAGTCCCGAGTGTGGCTCGCGGGTTAAACGTGGAGTGTCACGTAACCCACTGAGCGCTGCTCAAGTATTGGAGCAGTCGCTGCATGCCAAGAGTGGCATGATCCGCCAAGGGCCGAGGCATCGAGGGCGAAGCCCTAGTGATGCACGTGGAATGGCATGTAACCCACTGAGCACTTCTCACGTTACAAAGCGGTTGCTACATGCCGAGCGTGGCATGGTCGGACGAGTCGTCCGAGGCATCGAGGGCGAGGCTCTAGTTCTACGAGGGCGCTGTTCATAAACAGTCCCTCAGACACAACGCACACGAGGAAGCGGTGTTCGACGTGGAGGGAGAAGGGCAGTCTCGACTTGGAGGGACGAAAAAAGTCCTAATACCTTAAAGATAAATTTGCAATTGAATTAAAATGCGTTATGGTTCCTAGCTACATGCAATACACCTCAACGGCCCCCGGAGGTTTTACTGATGAAACCTTGGGTTCCTAATTTATCAAGTAAGGGTTCACTGAGGTTGCAACTCAGACTCAACTTATGAAAGATCTTGGGTGCACGGAGCTTGAACTTTAAAAGCTTAAATTTTCAACTTTCGTGGAAGGTATTTAGCAGAAGGGACTGACTTACGCCACCAACTTATAAAGACAGAGACACGTCGGTCTCGTCACCAGTACATATCTCCAAGTAGGTAACCAGCATTCCGTCTCAAACACAATGTTTGCGATCTCATATAATAAGTATGCGTTTGGGAACGCCATACTGCAATCATCTTCTATTAATCTCCACAATGCATACAGTAGGTACCTTCATGTAATGGCTATGTGTAGCCCATCATAGTGACGCGCGTGGAGTGGTACGTGATCCACTGAGCACCGCTCACGTTTCGAAGCAGTAGCTGCATGCCAAGAGTGGCCTGGGCGGACGAGGTCCAAGGCATACTGGATAAGGGCCATCTAATGCGCGTGGAATAGCACGTTTTGCACTGGACGACGACTGCGCAAATAGCAGCTATTCGTCGGATGTTGTTAACAACACCAAGGCTCCGATGGAGCAGGGAGCGGGGACACTGGACGACGCCAAGTGTGTGTTCCCACTGGTCTCGATGAGATGTAAAGTCTCTATCGAGAAAAGACGGCGGAGCCGTTTGTTATTTACAAGACGCAAGGAGTCGACCCTGACCCAAGGTAGGTCTACCGTAGACGATAGCGCGCAGCAATTTACGCTTGTCTACGGTATGACGGGAGAGAAAGACGGCGACGTCACCCTCGAGAGTATTCCCACGGTGGATGGTCTTCTTGATCTAGACGAGATGTCTTTCGAAGAGTCTGGCGGCGCCTTGAAGCCAAGCAATTAAGCCGAGGTGGTCATTATAAGACCAAACAAGGAGATTAACTTGTCGTCGCTTCTGGATGAAGCTTTCCTGGTGGACACTAAAACGGTGCTGAACGCATAAAGTGGATCGTGGATCTTGAAGGATGCTTCGGATTTGTATTATCCTTTGGCAAAGGAATTTTAAGATGTCGAAAGGTATTCCGAGACGTCGACTCCAATAGGCCAACGTCGTTCCTACCTCCGGACCGAGGTGTGTGTGATAATATTGACCTGGTTCCGGAACCAAATACTGCGTAAAACGCCAATGGCCCCTGCCCAAACCGCAGTGTGACGTCATTGACGCCTTTTTCCTTGCGAAACACGACGCAAGAATGATACGTGAGAGTGAGCTGCCCCATTTGACACCCACGTTTTGAGCCCAGAATCCGAACGGCAAGTGGCGTATCGCTCATGCTTATAATAAGCTAAACGCTGTTATCATTCCGACACAGATGCCGATTTCTTGAAAAGATGTACTCCAGAACAATATAGTTGGCTGTACAAGGTACAGCACACTCGACTTGGTCGATGGTGATTACCAATTGCTCATGAGAGCGAGCACAATTCTGCTGACAGCGGTGAGTACTTCGACCGGGATGCTCTGGGACTGGCTGGTGTGCTGTCAAATGCACCAGCAATATTTAATCGTCTTGTGGCGCAATTGTTCAGGCCCCACCGGGTGTAAGCACAAATAAATTTCGACCACAGTCGTGCGGGGCACGGGAGAACAGATGTTCGAAACCATATCGTCCAATTAAGAGCGGCGCTCGAGTGCATGCACACGAATAAGCTGTATGCTAGTTTAGAAAAGTGCATCTTCGGCGCAAAAAATCTCTTTGAGGGTGCTTCATATGGAAGCGTGGCCTTTGAGCGGATCCCGCTAAGGTTAGAGTCATTGTGGACTGGCCAGTTTCAAAGAACAAAAAGGACTTGCGCATGTGGCTTAGCCTCGCCAACTACTTGCACAAGCATAGCACAATTCATGCGGAAATGGCACGGCCATTGTCGAATAAATCAAAGAAGGATACGGAATCGTGTTGGGACGAGCATCGGGATGCTTTTGACGGGGTCGAAGACAGCCTCCTGCATGCATCAATACTGACGTTACCAGACCTCAAACTTTTTTTCAGTGTCCTAGACACTTCGGACATTGCCATCGGCTGTGCACTGCTGCAAGCAGACGCTGAGTGTCGAGATTTGGTAGTCGCGTTCGAACCTCGTTAGCTATAGGCTGCAAAGAAGAGCTACCTAGTCCACGACAAGGGATTACTTGCGATGAAGTATGCACTTGTCAAGTCCAGGGTGCACCTGCTCGGCTCCAATCCATTTGTGATCTATACAGATCATGCGTCATAACCCACTGAAACTCAGTCGCCTCACCTCTCACAGAGAATGTTCAGGGGGCTCTAATGCGAACTATCAGAGAATGCGATAACTGTCACAGCGTTCGTCTGTGCGTTTGTTAATACAGCCTCCTTGAATCATCGCTCCCTCTGGGCAAAGCGCACGGCAGTTCCGTTTTACAATATGTGCATTGAATGCTTGGGCAACAAGAGGACTGTAGTATCAGATGTTGCTTTATACGACATCAAATATCGGGACGAGAATATTGTCACACCGTATCATTTGTTCCTTAACTTACTGTCTTATTGATCGAATCCACTTGACGCGTAGCGTGATGAGTCACAAAAACCTTTTGAGCATCCACCTCGGCAAAGAAAAGACATACGGCTGAGAGAGCGCTAAGCACATATGTGCGCATGTGCGAGACAAGTGAGCGAGTTCATCCTCGCCACATGCATGGGCAGTCTGTCGATTTCGGCATACTGTTAGCAGTTCGTTGTGTGCACTTTATTTTGGTTCTCCAAACGATGGGTCCAATAATACCGGCTGTGTGGTCTTTGTGCATGATGGCTCGTCGCTGCTGTCAGCGACACCGTTGCCGGTAAGTTTACAGCCAAGCTGATCTTCGACAGAATTTATCGGCAGCATGGCGCCGTTGACCATTGATCTGGATCGAGAATCGCGCTTCACAACGAGATTGTTTAAGGTAGATGTTTAGCACGTTATTTTTGACCAATGAACCATCGTCAGATTGGTCAGATTCGCAATGGGCCAAAGCGTGTTCGTGCCATATCTGTACATGCCTAGCTCCAGCGCAAATTACATGAAACTGGTTACGCCATGGGGTAATGTTCACATCAATAAGGGATTTGTGGAGCAGTTGATCGTCAGTGTGGCGGTGGTCGTGCTGACTGTGATGTTATGGCGGTGCACCGCGCGTCTCAACAGAACGCTCCAGAAAAAAAATGTTACGGAAGACAACGAAGACGGAACTGAAGAGAATGAACAAGGGAAGTATGAAGAGAAGAGTGAAAAATCTAAATCTTCATTGTACGAGAACATGATCAAAAAGGGAGAGAATAGCTATTATTTTACCCACGAGATCAAGGAAGAGGGTGCACGCAAGACCTCGGTATCATCTTTCGGCTGGAGCGATAGTAAAAAGACAGTCAGGTGCGTGAAAGAAGCAATAATGTTTCTAATGTGGTCACTGTGTTACATTTCTGACTGCCGTATGAATTCGTCTCAAAATTACAGTATATATTTAACGCATAGCGCTGTCAAGGGCTTAAAAGAAGATCAGCTAATTTTGGTATGACAAACCTTCATAATTGGCATCACGTGTCTGACTGATAAATTCTCCTTTATACAAAGAAATGGACTGGCACGTCCTTATCGATGGATCTACTCGACGCTCCTGGCGGATACAAGTCAAAGAGTTTAGTGATTTCATCGCTGTTTCATGAGATAACAGACGTGACTTGGACGACAAAGAAGGAGTTGCTCACTATTACTCTGACAAAGGCAAAGGAACTTCCGTGGATTTCTCTTAATGGAGCGGCCAAAAAGATGGAGGACCACATCGAGTACGATGACGCCTTTTACGATTAGACGCAAACAAACGCCAGGAACAAATTTAGCTATTGACACAATGTCAAGTCTGGTTAGTCACGACAATTTATAGAGGTACTTTGAGATTAACGATTTCTTCTGATGGTGTAGGGAATTGCCTCAATGAAATTTGAATTTTAGCTTTTATAAAAGCCTGTGCGATTGTCCCTTATTTTGGGCTCCAAAACTTGAGATGTGTACTGTCGTAAGCGGTAGTCCATAGGCTGTTTGCCGATGCAAAAGCCACACCCGTGAGGAGATCATTCGGCACTACTTGAGAGCTTACCAGCTTCACTCGTGGACCTGCACCTGGCTTACCTGATGAGACTTCCCAGATGTTGATAAATGTATCCTCACTCACTGACACCGCAAATTCGTTTTGCGCATCCAAAGCTGTGATCGCACGCGTATGAGCGGCTACTTCAGCGTGTATGTGAAAGCTTTCAGGGTGGTACAATCTTAGACACCCAGTCAAAAACCCAGCTAAAAGCCAATTTTCCGCCATTAATGTTATCGAGGTCGCGAAGTCCCCGGCATTCATGATTCGATGGGTAATCTCATATCTACATCCTGGGTTACGGATCAGAATTAATCCGCTCATATCACTGCTCGCTAACAATGTGCCATCGAACGAAGATTCCACACAGCAAATTGCTTCTTCGTGCTCTGCTAGAGTCTTGCACACCTGAAATACGCTCAATTCATCTCCGTCCTTGCATTCTTCCTCTTTACCGATTACAACGAGCTTTCCTACTGAAGTGCCTGTATTTGATTTTGTTCCGCAGCAAGATGTCTCAAAACATCACTTTGATAGCTATTTAGCTAACCTTACCTACAACAAGACGTGGTTCCTTTGAGTAGACTGAGCATATGCCTTGACAATAGAGAGAATCTCCTAAGTGGCACCGCATGATAACACATTACACAATATCGAAGAACAGTATCAAGGTAGCTGTTACCATTGATGTCACCACCCACGAGATCCATTGCCGCCATCTCTGAAAGGATTTTCTCACCCGTGGAGTTGTAAATCTAATGTTATTAAAAAATGTAAAGCAGGCATCCGTGCCCTTCTTCTCAGCAGGAGTCAGTACCTGAATGCCATTGTCAGATGCAACGACTATCACGACTAATTTCTTGATCGTACAGAAGCGAACTTGGTGCACCGCGGATTTTTCTGAGCATGGTAACTTGTGCGTCTGGTAAGATATGTGCTGAGTAGTGTCCACATAGACCACGTCGTCTAAGCTTGCGTACACCTATAAAAGTAAAACTGATGAGCAGATGAAACAAAGAAGAATTAAACAGCTGACGCACCAACATTTCACCATGTTTGGATAGATTGTTGCAGATGTAGGATGCACTGTAGGAAGTGGGCTTAAGCTCTGGATCCATGAACCAAGAGGTTGCCATGTTATCGCTGAGTGTCCGTTTTGGCAAAATATTACTGAAAAGTCGTCAAGTCGGAACAATAAAAATTACATGATCGTTCAAATTGACTGCGTACATTATGTATTTCGTTGCTATTAGTGAGCAGTGACTTGCATTTCCTCTACTAGCACCCTTTTGTGCTGTTTACATGGCACGATGTCATCTCGTCGTTCGTCTGGTACGGACAACAGGTTGATTGTCGTGCTCAAACCTGCGTCAGTTTGGGTCTCTTCTGACAAGATCTTATCGCTCAAAGTCACCGTGCCCATGTCTTGATTTTCAGAATGGACCTGAGGCTCATTTGCGCTGACTGGTGTGGATGAAATTGTCTCAATCACATCGTGTGCCATAGGATATTTATCAGCATCCGTCACAAGTGCAACGATAATCACGGGAAACTCCACAATAGCTTTTCGTTTTAAGTTGCTTTCAAGGCTCTGATTACCATCTAGTCTGTAAAACTGCGGCTGCGATGCTGGCGTAAATTCTCTTCGCAAAAGAAGCAAAATGTTCTTTTCCCAATTGGTCACGGCATATTTTTTCAGCTTTCCGCGAGTAGCAACGTTCTCCTGTATGCGCATAACCAGCATATTGGTAACATTTAATTTTTGATAAATGCATGTTGCTGTCATACGACTTACCATACTAGGGTTCAGATATTTCTGAAGCAGCGCACACAAAGTGTATTGTTCATTTGCTCTTTCCTCAAACAGACTCATGGATACTTCTGCACTGGGAAATGCCCACTCTACACGCCAAAACATTGTATTCGCTTTTGTGTTCATATACGATGAGTTTCGTACACGCTTGCTCATACCGGAAGGGAGTAGTGTCAAGGCTACCCCTCGCTTAACTGCATGCTCAGCAAAGACTTGCACAGCAGTTGGAAATCGTGCTAACCAATCCGAAGGAATGTCAGGATTAATCGAAGTACCCATTACCACCTTCCGCTTCTTATTGCTATTGTATCGCCGCGCATTAGCGTTTAAGTGGCGATGGGACCTTTGTGCACTGTTCGTGGAGCGAGATACTTCCTCTAGAAAAAAGAAGTCTGTTGCAATTGATATAAACAAAGATTTAAAATGAGATACCACTTTTCCGAACAGCTACGATTCTCGGTCTTACCGCTAGAAAGATCCGCATCCGTAAATTTCTTAACGTCTACAAACTTGGTACGATCGCGTTTGCCATTGCAGTCATGCTATCGAGTTTGTAAAGTTGCAGTCATAGTACGACGATGTGAGCTGTGACAGACAAATAATGGTCATTAAACATTACGCACCTGCTTCTTGTGCGCCAAGCAGCACATCAATGAACATGTGATACGCTCACAACGAGGACAGCGGTATTTAACGTCGCTATTGCCACAGCCAGAACACCTCATGACAGCATTTTTACTTTTCGGCTGCCCCTTTGTCTCCGTTTCTGCATCGTCCAGCGCACGCTTGTTGCTAAAGTCATTCATCAGACGTATATTGTTTTTGTCATCCATTTAGACTATGTATATAATCATGATTGCCCAATTATCAAAATTCGTTTGCCGCCAATCATTTCCAAGAAGGTAATTGTGATACCATGGATGTGGGCGTCGATCTCGAGATTGATGAGAGCAAGCTGTGGGACCCAGCCAAGCGTCAAGCCTATATGGATTCGCTGCCAGACATGACGCTCTTTGAGGATCATGTGGTCGAGGGTGATGAAATGGCAGAGGCCATTCAAGCGCTTATCGAGGACGGCGAGACTGCCGAGAGTTTAGCATTACATTGGAAGAATCAGGGTAATGGTATGTTTTCCGACGCCAAAAAGGCTCATCGAGGCTACTTTCAAACTGCTATCAAGTATTACAATGACGCGCTTGCTTACGCTTATAAGGCGTTGGCATTGCCGAAGGAGGAACGCGATTTGTCGTACAACATGAAGGAACTTACGTCGCAAATCTTGTGTAACCGCGCGGCTGTGCAGCTTGAGTTAAAGAATTATGCTAGTTGTCGCTCTGATGCTGCTAAGGCCATCAATTTTGATCCGTCCAATGTAAAGGCTTACTATCGCGGCGCCAAAGCCTCTCGGTTGCTGCGCAAACCGGCTGATACATTACTATATTGTAAAGAAGGACTAAAACTGGACCCCCAGAATAAGCTGCTGCTGGCGCTACAGGTGGAAGGACTCCAACTTGTTAAAGTGATTCGAATGGAGAAGATGAAATTTGAAAAAGAACGCATGAATCGCCGTGCCGCTACGGACAAATACCGCAAGCTGTGTGCTGCTCGCGGTATTCGTGTCGGCCGTGCTCTAGTGGATGATGAGCGCGTACGCCAGTACGAAGGAAAAGCTGATTTGGACCCCAAATGCGGCAGCATGTACTGGCCTGTCCTCTTTCTGTATGATCAGCATGGTACATCGGACTTCGTGCAGTGTTTTGGCGAGCAAGAAGCAGTGATTGAGCATCTCGCTAACATGTTTCCTGAGGATGGGCCATACGCTCAGTGGGACACGAAGAAGGAGTTTGTGGCATCCAAACTGGTCGTTTATGCTGCAGCAGATATGGTGTTACCGTACTCGACATCGAAGGAGTGGCATGTAGGTCTAAGCGGTGAAAAGGAGGAAGACGATGAGGAGGTAAAGCGCATACGGCTGGAGGAAAAGCACGAAGCGAAAACGCAATACTGGATTGAAGTGTCACCCTTTTGTACGCTACAGCAGCTACTTACAAATGAGAAATACGTAGTGCCTGGAATCCCAGTGCTTAACGTCTTTGTGCGCGACTCAGAGGCGCTTAGCAACTTTCTTAAGCGTATTGAACAGAAGGTTACAAAACTTGATGCACAGCAATAAATTAGCAATAGATTAATTATTATATAAACTCCTTATCCAATATGATTGGCTGTAATAACATCGCGCACTTAACTGGCTGAAAGATTCGATTGTGCGTAATTAATTATCCATCAAGCCAAAATGGTAGCGTTCAGGATAGCTAGATGTGCTCGCTCTGCGTAGCAATTAATTCCCGATAACTGCTTACATGCTAAAGGGAACCATGTTCTGACTTTATTCTGTATGATCATAGTCCGGCCTGATTTTAAACCCCAAGCCATTCTTGACCAATTTGACAGGCAAGCCTGTTGTGGCACGACTTAAATGGGGTATGGAGTACAAGGGTGTGCTGCTTTCCGTGGACTCTTATATGAACTTGCAGCTGGCTAATACAGAGGAGTATATTAACGGAGAGCTTACAGGAAATTTGGGAGAGACGCTTGTGCGCTGCAACAATGTGCTATTCATACGAGGATTGCTGGATGACGAGAAACCACCTGCCGAGGCTCCAACGAATGATGCAGAGCCCATGACAGACACTCACTAGGATAGTACTGAGTAAGAGATATCACAGCATTTTTATAATATAAAGGGCGACTTTTACCTGCAAGGGAATGAGATTGTAACAAGGTCGAATGAGTTCACTAGTCTTTCCCGCAATTGACATTGCCCTAATAAACGGATTATCAATACTGAAACATATATTTTTACATATGTTCCACTTCCTGTCATGTGCTGATACAACATCGATCTGTTATAAGCCATTTACGACTTTAAAAAACCGAACAGATCATCATCATCCAGCTCCACATTTAAATCAATGCGATCCCATCGATACAGATCCAATCCATCATCCCCGCTCTCACTCCGCGTCTCTGCTGCCAGTCCACTTGCCTTATTGTCAGTAGCTAACGTTCCTTTGTCAGTTTTTGGCTTTGACACAATCATAGTTTCGTCAGGTGATGGGCCAGTCACGACTGCTTCTTCCGACACACCCGCTACAGTCGGTGGTTCTGGTGTGGTAGAGTTTAGGTTGGTCGACAATTCCTCAGAATGTAGGGGCATCTGAAATTGCTCGTTCTGTTGATCACGCAGTAGGCGTTGTTGATGTTGCTTGAGCTGCTGATGTTGCTGTTCCTGTTGCTGTTCCCGTTGCTGGTGCTGCTGTTCCCACTGCTGATGCTGTTCCTGTCGCTTTTGCTGATGCTGTTGCTGTTGCTGCTGCTGTTGCTGTAGTTGTCGCCGCTGTTGGCTCATCTGTTTTGTCGGCTGTTGTTGAAATTGTTGAAGGTGTTGCGGACCGCTCAATAGATCACAGAATCTCCCCACCTTGTCGTTGTTGCTCAGAACAGTTCTGGTATCAATGCCTCTTCCCATTCTATTCTGGCTTGCAAGATGCTGAGCCATCTCCACTTTACGTGTAAGCATCTGACGGTGAAGATTCATTTGTGCTTGCATAGCGATATGCATTTGCATTCGTAAATCACACGATTCGTTCTGAAACACGTATTCACTCGCATTTCGAAGAATTGTGTCGCTGGTGGCTCCATGTGCAAACATTCCATCATCATCTACCGGTGCATTCATAGCTGAAAGCTGAGGAGATATCAAGGAAGTCAGGAGACTCCACTGTGGGTCTGAAAGCTCGGGCATTCCGGAAGTTCCCGAGGCAACAGGAAGTTGTCCTAAAGGATATCTATATGCTGCCACAGCAGCTGCTGCTACAGCCAACTCACGATCGTGATCAGTAAATTGTTTGCGCTGAACATGAGCGGCGTATGCTGGTGGCAAATGCTGAGTTTTTATTGGCATCATACCAGTGGATACCAGTGCAGGAACAACAGGCATCATAAGAGTATCTGTAACGTGAGAGTGCTGGCGGGTTTGGCTGTTTCCATCAAATATCGGCTGTTGCTGAGCACTTTGCATAAGTTGCGAGTAAATCAAATCAGGAGCGTGAGCAGTTGTTGAAGCAGCAGAAGATTCACGCTGGACGCGTGATGTTGCCTGCTTCTTGATCCCATCGTCCATTGTGTTGTCGTTAAGACTGCAATACTCATTGTCCGAGTCACTTTCGCCACTATCACTTTCGTGAACACGATTTTTTCGGCGCTTCGGGTTGCTTATAGGAAACACAAACATACTAGCGGTCTCACTATTAGCCCCGTTCATTCGTTGCTGACCTTGACTTCGGCGACGCTTGAGATTGCGCTTAGCACTGCGGTCATAATATTCGAGAAACTCTATTCGTGAGCGCTCGTAATTAAGTCGAAACTTTTGCAAATGCGACTTGAGGTGTTCTGTTGTGAGTCCTGCGTCGGGTTCCACAGGCTCCATAAGCTGCATCAATAAACAAGTGCACACGTTAGTTACCTTATTTATAGGAGCGCATGAGTCGAAATTACCGTCAGCAAAGTCTTTGGTGAAGCATTTTTGAGACCAACTAAAGCAATTTCACATATCACATTATCAATTCAGTTTTTGATGCACAAACCAAACCAGCACGAACCGTCAAAGATAGCAGCTACAAAGAGTCGATGGAGATCGTCAGGCCAAACGAATCGCTTCGTCTTGCGTTCATATTTACGCTGCTTGGAAGCTGATTTGTCTTCATCCGTCTTCTTTTGTTTACCGCTGAATGACGAGGTATTTGTCGCTGTTTTTGTAGATACTGCTGTTGCGCCTTCAGCATCCGTGACTGGTGAGCAAGCCGGATTCATGGAGGGCGGCGTGGCCGTGTCAGTACGCGCCTCGTCGCTGCTGTCCACCACTACCCGCGGATTTTGAATGAAGAGCTGAGTTCGTCTTGATAGGGGAGGAGCAGAGTCGCTCGAAGAGACCAAATCAGTCATACAGCTCTTTGCGGTGGTCGTCCAGAATACTCACAGATGATGAGGCTAATGGATGGGGGTCAAACAGCGCAGCAAAAATGCAGAAAGTCACAAGCAAAGAAGGAGCGCAGAGAGGGAGACGGCAAGATACTTGACACTGATACCAGCTACGAGTTGATGGACTCAAAAAGAGATCCTGTTCAATAGAACCTGAGGAATATCTGAATCTAATACCGGTTAGTGAGAGGACATATTCGTGTGTTGAAATACTGCATGTTAATAATTATGTGTAAACTACAATACATACTTTCAAACCGGCTTCTACATGTCCACACTATGCATTCACGACTATAAGTGATGTATGCGTCTTGGTCTAAACGAAATTGTGCGATTGCTTACCCATAAGCCTCGTCTTGGATTCTGGACCAGTCATCATGCAAAACAGGGTGAAGGTGTAATTTAGTAGTAAAACGAGCTCATATTAATTCGATTACAGATTAGTTAGAGCGGGTTCGAACTGAAATCGTGTGTTATTTTATTTACTTTTGTACTACATTAGAACCTGTCTAAATTAAACCTGTTTAATTTAAAACCCGCTCTAAATTGAACAAGAGATATGGACCCATGTTGAGCACCATACAGTAAAACCTGTCTAAATTAAACCTGTTTAATTTAAAACCCTTTCTATTTTAACCACTGTCCCCCAGTCCCAACATGTTTAATTTAGACAGGTTTTACTGTAAATTATCTTTAAAAACTTTAAGACTGTAAATTTGTTGAAGTAATTTTCTACGTACATGATATTCAGAAGTTGCTTTACGGAACAAGGATATTTATTAGTAGAGCCTTGTTTCAAAAATCTTGAGAGAGTACGCTACGCTGTATGTTCAAGCATGAGCTATATCCAACGGTGTGACTACGACAAACGTCATCAATATACAAATACGAGCCGATTGATTGATGACCATAACAATATACATGAAACTTCGAACCGACCTTCAAATTGGCAAACAAAGACAGAATACATGCATAATATTCATCATTAGTGGACTCCTTCAAAATGTTTTGGCATTAATCTCATCTGCAGCCACAAAGCCACAAATAAGCACTTGAAAGCTACTTATATCTTTGTCACAATTTGATGGTACTGCTAAGTCAGCAACACCGTGCGCAACAGAATTAACTCAGAGACTCCACGTTAACAACGCGTCAAGTATGGGCTCGTACGCTTCACCCACGAGCCTTTTAAGTAACTGAAAATCAAAAGTGGCGTATATTTGAAATAAATGTGATTGAAACCATGTTTGAACTATGTAACATTATACGCACCGCAAGTCGTGTGGCTGACTGCAATGCGGTTGACATGCACCTTTCAGAGGATAGGTTTGTATACTCCATCCATAATAGGAACCGAGAGCCTTTTTGCCTGCTTTCCTACTTCCAAACGCAATATATGTTTCCTAATTTAACCGGACAGCTGCCTTCACAAATGCCACGGATCCACTCTATCCTTTGTTTGCGATATAGCACGATGCGGTAATGAGAGACCCGCCAAGTGTGCTTTCCGTAAGACGGGAGTGTTTCATGCAGTTGAATTGGTTTGAAGTGCAGCAGGGCTGCCGTAGCTCTTTGCTTAGAGGAAGCTAACCGAACGTCACCAATCTAACGTTCTATACAAGAGCCAGTACGAGTGTAGCGGATCGCAATAACTCCAAGAGTACCCCAAAACCTTAGCCAAGGCAAGTGAATTCAAGATTGAGACTGTATTTAATTGTTTTATTTGCGGTAGCTCCGCCTAAATCTCAAACCTTGGGCTTTCCTAATTAATGTAGTAATAAAACCTAATTAATATGCGTAATTACAGGCAGTCCTGTCACGTAGTGGCTTCTTGTTAATGTGTAGCCACACCATTGTGTGAGTACACCAACTTATGTAATCCACACATATGTACGGCCACACAATCTTGTGTCACTCATTCTTTGATACAAGGGTCCGTGTAGTCCCGTTACACCCTCCCCCGTCAAAATCATGAATACCCACAATTCACATTTAACTGTCGCCTCATACGATGCTCGCGTGGCTGAGATACCATTACGTTCTTAAAAAGCATCCTTGAACATTCTCCACTCAGTGAGCCCATATCTATAACACGAAAAACACCCAGCCTAGCTGGCTCCGAGGGCACCCGCAAGCAGAGCCCGTCTTTGTTTTCTGCACGGGGTGCATTTCTGGACAGTATGTCTGCGATTTAAGCACACCCAAGCCCTCATCAACCGGGCGCCACACACCGCGCCCGCCACGGGCGGCGGATTTTCTCGTCGAGAAATCACAGGAGGTCGACTATGAGTCGGATACTCCTTTTCCAGCATGGGAAGACGAGGAGGAAAAGGTGCGCTAACGGTGCGACGTGAGCCCAGCTCTAACCTTGCGGACACCGTGCCTGTTCCCCGACTTCTCGACTTCCGGGGGAAGTGTTATTGCTACCAATCGCATCGACGATGCAGAGGAGCAGCACTTGGAGGCTGCCCACAGGGCAGCTCTCATGCGCTCGTATCCACCTTTGGTCTTAGATCTTCGTGTGGAATATTGCTTCCGCTCTGCAGATCCCGCTACTGAAGCGAAAGACGCGATCACTCGACCGTGATGCGTCTACGTAGTCGGGCCCCTGACCACTACAGGAGCTGAGCTTGACCAGCGAAAAGCTCTCCGAGCTCGCATCTTTGTACCTCAAAATATCCCCATGGATAGGTACCGCGCTCGACTTCGAGCTCAAAGAGGAGACGCTCCTGTACCCGGGATGCGCACTATTTCTGTGGCGCTCTCTCCTGGCGAGCCGCTGCAGTTAATGATAAACTCTTTGAGTGATGGGTGCAGCGGCACAGGAAGCTTTCTCCCTGTCACCCTTACAGCGAAGCCACAAGGAAGTGGACATGCGCGTAGAACGCCACCTTCGATTTGAGTTTGCCAAACTCAAGGCGCAACGCCAGCTTCCTGCGTATTGTCGTCCTGCAACACATGGAATCATCTATCACGCTCCCGTGAGCTTTGGGGTTTCTCAAACGAGTAAGTCTACGACCAGATCAGCTCAGGGCCATGGCTTGAGCTCAGCTCATGGCCCTTCGGCTTCCCTGGCTACTGCCGAGAAGCGCGATGCACAAAATGACGCGGAGCGTCATGATCCTTCTGATAATAAGCGTCCGCGACGTCTGAAGAGTCTTGCTGAAGTGGCACCTCAAACTCCAACAAGTTTTCAGAGTTTGGGCATCCCGCCACTTCACAAGATATCGGGTTCGACCCTGTCGACGACGTCGGCCTTCAAGGCGATCCACCTTGATTATCATTTCGTCGAGCTGAATAATATACGCGGGTAACACTTGTATCACCGACTAAACAAGACATTCCATCTTGTGGGTCGACGTCGTCGGCCCACAACCCGATATCTTGTGAGGTGGCGGAGGTACCAAACTCCGAGAGCTCGTAGGAGCTCCTGAAAGTGGACGCCATCATTCCCATCGAGTTGGGGCGGACGATGACGACTTCGTCGATCGCCGCCCGGTGACTCGCGATGATCTTCGAGTTTTGGGTGACAAAATCTGTCGTCATCGTCCGCCGACCATCTTACCGAGCTCACATACCGCTGTTGGGAAGGCCTCGAGAGCCTAAACAACTTTGTGGAACGACTGCCTCACGATGAAAATCATCGTGCTCGATCGGTGCGGCTCCTAGCCGTCGAGCAGACAAATACGTCACTTCGTGAGGCGGTGGAGCGCCGTGTGCCGCTGGAAGCGAAATTTGTTGCATTCCGTGCTCTGAACCAGCTGCTGGTTCAGCTTCTGGTGGCTGAGCGCCTTTGGGCGCTACCCCGGCGCCAACGCTCCTGCGTTCACTTGCGTCGGATCCCGGTACGGCTTAAGCAAGCCCGCATAAAACACTGGGTGGGTGCGCATCCTGTTCCGAAGGCTTAGCGTTTGCGCAAGGCCTCGCTTGGCCACAACCTTAAAAAGGTCCAATAGCTCGTGGACAGAGCTTTGACTCAAAGGCAGAAGAGGCTGAATGTGTAGCAAGTTTTTTAGCATGAAATAGAAACAGATCTCCGACTCAAAGTTTTCCACATTTCTTCTGCTTCTTCCGTCTGCGTATTCTTTCTGCGTGTCTTGTCTTTAAGCAATCGCACCGCGAACGTGTCGTAGGTAATCAGTCTAGTAGACAGGAAGTCATCAACTTCATTATGACAGTGAGGGAGATGACATCAGCTAGCCGTGTGGCTATTCCTCCCCATCAAGCCCCGAGCCATGGGATAGCGGCGACAGCGGGACGCTAGATTTAACAAGCCCGTTCACGTAAAATGGCGTGTAGCCGGTAGATGAATGCACTGCATTGTTCAAAGCAAACTCTACGATTGGCAACATAGCGCACCAGCGCTTCGGGTCCCAGTGCAGACGCTGCGAAGAACGTCTTCAATGATGCGATTCAGGCGCTCAGTCTGATTATCGGGTTTGCGGATGGTCCGCTGTTGACATAGTCAACTTGGTGCCCAGCACCCTGAAGAATGTAGATTAAATCTTCTCAGTGAAGCGCGGGTCTCTGTCAGAGACAATTGACTCCGTGAGTCCATCTTGTTGAAAGACACGATTGACAAACAGCGTCGCTGTACCAACACCCTCGATGGTGTCCGGCACTACCGCAAGATGAGCCATCTTGCTCAAACGGCCCGAATAGACCACCACACCGTGTTGCCTGCCGAGTCCTTCGGCAGGCCAACACAAAGTCCAAACTCATGAACTACCAACACCCAGAGTGTACTGGTATAGTGGCCAAGGGTGCCGCCGCATTCGGAGAGGATTTCAACCTCTGACACATCCCACACGTGCGCACATATGCGCTCGTCCATTTGTACAGCTTAGTCTAACAGTAGTGGCAACTCACAGAGCTGTACGTCTTCTCATGACCGAGATGACCACAAAGTGGGATGCCGTGGGCCTCATAGAAGATACGGTATTTCATCTATGAGGCCCACGACACCCTACTTAGTCCTCATTGTGATGAACTCCCAATTTGTGGCGTGTCTGTCGAGTCGGTGCTATAATACAGCAAACCATTGTTCAACGGACATCGGTGTAACCATGCTCGCAATCGCACCAAAACTTACTTATCCGAGTTTCCAAACTCCTTGCTTCCGAGAGCCTGTAGCAGCGCTACACACATACCATCACCCGCGTATGCGGCGCGGATCAAACTCGTCACTGACGACGTCACCGTCGTGACATGAGCAAGCTCATAATCCGGTCTGCGTGA